GAAGATGTCGGCGAGCTAGGAAGAAGTTGGTACGTGCTGGACCTTGACATCGGCAATGCTGACATGTTCATGAATGAAGCGCATGTCGATTTTGACATGCTTAGTGCGTTGGTGTTGAACCGGGTTGCTGGAGAGGTACATTGCGTTGACATTGTCGCAGAACACAACGGTGGCTCGACGGAGCTCAGTGAGACGCTGATGGGAGCTAGCAAGACTTGGCGACGACATTTGCCATGACGCAGTATTCTGCTTCTACGCTAGAACGAGACACTATGTTATGCCCTTACGGGACCAGGACACCATGTTTGGTCCGATGAACACACATAAGCTAGAGGTGGAGGGCCTCGTGTCCGAGCAATCGGCCCAGTCCGCATCATAGTAAGCCACCAGGTCATGGGATGGAGCAGCGCTGTGGATGCGAAGACCAAGATGAGCCGTACCTTGCACATAGCGTAGGATTCGTTTGACAAGCTGGAGATGCGGCTCGCGGGGAGCATGCATGAAGAGGCAAGCTTGTTGGATGCGTGAGTGATATCGGGACGCGTGAAGATACTGTAATGCACCAACGAGGCTGCGGTAGCGGGAATGATCAGCGACAAGCTTGTCGTTGGTGGCAGAGAGTTTGGCGCTGGCGTCGAGAGGGGTGGACATGGGCCGACAGTTGAGCATGCCGACACGGTCCAATATCTCAAGCGGATACTAATGATGCGAGAAAAATAGGTCGACATCGGAGCGTTGGACGTTCACACCGAGCGTAGGTGGCTGAAGTCAGTCATGGTGAACTCGGGATGGAGCGGGGTGATGTTGGAGCGCAGTAGGCTAGAGGAGCTCTCTGTCAGGATTATGCCATCCATGTATAGCAGCAGATAGGTAGTGGACGAGTCGTGATGGAGGATGAAGAGTGAGTTGTCGCTCTTCGAGGCGGTGAAGCCGAGCGTGAGGCTATGCGTGGTGAAGCGAGCAAACCAAGCCCGAGGCGCCTGCTTGAGGCCGTAGAGGTAGCGCTGGAGTTCACAGACTAGTGGTTCGTGTCGATGAAGCTGGCGGGTTGGGCGCTATAGATGATCTCATTGAGAACCCCGTGAAGAAGCGCATTCTTCACGTTGAGCTGATGGATCGGCCATGAGCCGGTGACTACGAGGCTGAGGACGACCTTGCGTTGTGTGAAGCCTCGAAGAACCCAACACGCTTGCGTCTCCTGCTGGAGAAGGTCACCCTCGACGCCCGTGACCGCATCGAGGGCACCTCCGTGCTCGTCATTGGCATCCGCTGCAACGGCGAGAACTCCAACAGCGCCAGCTCCTCTAACGGTGCCTCTGCTGATCGGGGATCCCCCCGCCCCTTAGGGCGATCGTGGCCGGTCCAGCTGCTCCAGCAGCGGTGGTTCCAATGACCACGCCGTGGTTGCAGCAATGGCGGCCGTCCCCGGCTGCTGTTGCAAGGTGGTGAGACGCCTTGGATGGGGTACTTTGCTCCTCGTAGTGCTCCCTTCCCGCCAATTGGTCGCGCTCTCTGGTTCCCACCGAATGCCGCCGGCTTCCTTGGGCCACGCCCTGGCGCCCTTGCTTAAGCATACCCGGTCTTCTACCCGGGCCCCAGCCTACACCGTACGCGCCTACCCAGTCGTTGTCTACACCAAGCTAGCATGTTGAACGCCTCCATGAGCAACCTCTCGCTCTAGCATACCGACGCCGCTTATTGGTGCCTCGACACCGGTGCCTTGTCTCACATCTCCAGGAACATAGGTAACCTCACCAAAATTTATGATGTTTCAGTGTAACATTTTCCTCACATCATGGTCGGCAACAGATCCTCTCTCCCTGTCTCTCATGTCGGCAACACCCATCTTCCAGCCACCCCTTCCACCTCATGTTTTAGTTTCTTCTAACATCATTAATAATTTCATTTTCGTACACAGGTTTACTTATGATACTTCTTATGCCATTGAATTTGACCCCGCTGGTTTTTCTGTGAAGGACCTAGCCAGCTGGACGCTGCTCATGAGATCCAATATCTTTGGCCGCTATACCCGTTCTTCGGCTCCGGCGCCATCGCTCTCACCACTTTTCCCATACGGCGGTGCCAGAGGTTGCCAATGGAAATACCAGTGAGAGGAGTGGCACCGGAGCCGAAGAACGGGTATAACGGGCTGTAGCTATTGGATCTCCTGAGCAGCGTCCGCGTGGCTAGGTCCTTCATTGAAAACCAGCGGGTTAAAATTCAATGGAACAAGAATTATCATAGTAGACTTGCTTATGGAAATTAAATTCTTAATGATGTTAGAAGAAACTAAAATATGATTAAGGTGGAAGGGTGGGGTGGAAGATGGGTGTAGCCGACAGGGAGAGAGGATACGTTGTTGACCACGTGTGAGGAAGATGCTCCACTGAAACATCATAAATTTTGTTGTGGTTACATGTGTTTCCCGAGATGTGCGAGGCGTCGATGTCGAGGTATCAATCGACAACGCCGGATTGCTGGAGCGAGAGGTTGTTGGCGTTCAGCATGCTAACTGGGCCAGAATAGAAGATGGACTGGGTACGCTTGAGCATGGGCGTTGCCTGAGGACGCAGGTGGCGTTCGGGGGGAACCATGTGGCGGGAAGGGAGCACTCCAGGGAGCAAAGTAGCCCATCCAGGGCGGCTAACCACCTTGCTGCTGCTGCTGGGGACGGCCCCCGTTGCCTCGGCCACGGTGCGGTCGCTGGAGCCGTCGTCGCTGAACCGGCCATGATCGCCCAGAGGGGCAGGAGGAGCTCGATCAGCAGAGGCAGCACCGGAGGCTCCGGATATGCCAATGATGAGCGCGGAGGTACCCTCGATGTGATCCAGCAGGAGACGCGAGCTCGCCTGGATGAAGGTGGAGAAGGGGGTCTGCATTGGCATGACGGAGGCCATAATTTGGAAGTGGCGTGAGAAGCCGCAGATCATCTGGAGAGTGAGCGAGTAATCGGTCACTGGCTCGTCGACTTTATCGAGGGCGTCGGCCAGGGCATTGACCCGGCGGTAGTATTCGCTGGTGCGCAGATCGCCTTGGGTGATGTTGCGGAGCTCGGCGCCATGATCATCACGCTGCCAGGTTGGTTGTCGTAGAAGGAGTTCAGCTGGCTCCGGGCGCGAAAGGTGGTGTTGTCCGGCCACTTGATGACATCGGAGATAGCTGTATATCCAGAGGGTGGTGGTGATGTTGGTCTGGCACCATGCGACATCCTGTTCCAAGGGCTCGGTGAACGTGGCCCTCAGCCTCATACATAGAGAGAACATACCTCATAATCTGCCGCCATTTGGAGAAATTGTTGGCGGCAAGATCTAGCTTGAATTTGAGGAAGTGCCTGATGTTCAGCTGGTGCATGGAGGGCAGGCTGGAGAATGAGGCGCCAGGTGATGACGTAGGAGGGAGCCGTGGCTGGTGGGGCGGAGCCGACAGGGAGCTGGAGTCCGTTGGAGAGTGAAGCGGAAGCAGTCGGAGCACCTCTGAAGGACAGGAAACAGTGGTTAGCGGCGCGGAAGACATGATGTGGTTATGGGAGGAACTCGAGCTACCAAGTTGGAGAATATAATTCACCGTAGATTGTATTCACAGGTCAGTGTTACATATATACACGCCGAAGCACACAATGGCAAGCTAGGTTGTTACAACAGAATCCGTTATACAGACGGGAGCATGGGCTACGTGCGTTGTGATCGCGTGTGTGACGCAGGAAGCGATCGATCGGGTGGAGGCGTGGAGCTGTAGACGTGGCTGACGACTTGTTCCAACATATTGTACCAGATAAAATATATTCCAGTACTTCTGTTTGAACTTTGTTCCTCTGAGCAGATGAAGTTATCTTATGGATTTGACTGAACTTGCGTATTCCATAAGAATTCCATGTTATAGTGATAATTGTTGTTTTATGACTGTGCAATTGGACTACAGAATGTTAACTCTACAAACTTGGAGAAGAACACGCCTCTCCACTGGGCATGCCTCAATGGACATACAGAGGTATTTCAGTTGCCTCGCTATTCTATTAGTGGTTTTCATGCACCGATCTAGACATATAATGACACAAATGCTTATAAAAACAATTTTCCAGGTAATCAAGGCTTTGATATGTGCTGGGGCTATCGTAAGTGTACTGAACAGGTATGTTAAAATGTAAATGACTGCACCAGAAGAAGTGGTGGTTTGATTGTGAAATACATGCTGCAGGATGTATTAGATATTTCTTACTTAGTGGTGTCTGTTATAAAGGCATGATTTGGTATTCTGCAGCCATGAGAAAACCCCTATGGATGAGGCACTGACTCTCGGAAAGATGGAAGTGGTCGATGCAATCGGTGCAGCAGTAGCTCAAGCAGAGCTCAATGGTGTTACTGTCTCCTAAGCAGAACTTGACATTCTCCTTGTGTGATGGATGACGATGATCTGCCACCCTGTTCTTATCTTCTTCGTCACCGTTTCTTCCGGTCTGTGTCACTTAAGATGCTGATATGCTAGTATGTGGGGCATTAGGATGTGTTGAGCTAAGAGTTAACTGTCATCTCTGTCTGCAATCACCTGTTAGTGTCAAATGTCCTGAAAGTCTGGCTGCTGACTATGTGTGCAGCAGTCAGATGTAGTATCTTGTTTTATAAGATTGCAAAGGCCATCGGACTTGTGCTGCTGAACTAATTCCTTTCTCCCACAATCTCCTACCTAGTCAGATCACTGGGTTTTATACTTTACAGTGAGCTGAGATAAAAGATATGCACTTATGGTTTTTTGTGTTGTTGTTGATCCCTCTCTGCTTTCAAACTTACCAGTTATCCAATTATCCTTATATTTTTTTTTACGTTATATGTATAATTCAGTTGCCTTATAGTTGCGGCTGAAGCCATTAGCCATATATGCCACAATGCGTCCCAGTTATGATTTATGAGCCATATGTGCCACAATGTGTTCCAGTTGACTTTATTCAGCTGGCTTCCAACTGTACATCTGGGTCGTGTATCTGAGTCAGTTTGAGCCCACTGCCTAGAAAAGTCAAGGCAGAGCCTACCACCCAGAAACGGTCTGGACAGTCCACGAGGCAAAAAATACCAGTCATGGATGGTTGGCCCATTTCTTTGTCCAAATTCAATCTCCACAAAAGGTGCATAGATCCTTCAGACTGTGTGCTCACTCTCACTTTGTCAAATTCAGGTCGCTGTGGCCTATATAGCCACACCCGTTCTCACTCCCACTTTGTCAAAATCTAGGAGGCACTTGCGGCAGGCGTGTTTTGCCAGAGACGACGCACCACTCGCCAACCGGGTCAAGTGTTCAGGTCGCTCTCTTGATCAGTTCGGCCAACCAAGGTCGGTGTCGCGGCTAGAAGAAGAAGACGATGAGGAGGAGGAAGGAAAGCTTCTGACGGAAGAAACTTATTAACGAGGGGCGACAGCCAACAGGGCAGACCAAGACATGCCGTCGCCGTCGGCGTTGTGAATCCGCGCTCGTAATAAAGGTCACGGACGGGCTCATGAGCCCGTCGCCTTCCTCGCCGCCCCGGTTACTTCGGGACACGAACGCGACGGCGGCGACGGGGGTGATCACACAAATCAATGCCGCTGCCGCGGGTGGCCCGTGATGCGGCCGTCGGTCGGTCGAGCCACACCATGACCTTGTCACGATGCCAGGCGCGACGCCCGATCGATCGGTTTTCGTCATGAATGCGCGATGCGGCAGTGGCACCGCGGAGGTCGACGCAGTCGGCGGCTCGACGTCCTCCGTTCGTTTCTCTCTACGTACGACTGTACTGTATGTATGTAGCAGCAGTACATGCACACGGAGGACGGCCGCAAATCAGTTACTCCTACTGACTACTCTGCTGATCTGCCACTGCTTTGACGTTTCTCTCCTCGGAGGATCGCTGCTGATCACCAGGCAAGGGCAGGGCGCACGTTACGCACTTGGGCGCAGCGATATATGTGCCTGCCACCCCATGACGCACGCACGCACGTACGAGCCGATCCAAGGCACATGCAGCATGCTACGTGTCAGGCGACACGTGCACGTTCCAGGCGCATGCATGCAGGGGCACGCGACGACCCGATCCCGTGGCCGGTGCCGTGTTGACTTGGCGTCCACCCCGTCCGGCCATTGCGACTGTGGTGGTGCAAGCAAAGCGGCGACGCCATTTCGGCAAACGCACGCGCCGTGTCTCCGGTGTTTGTCTCCTCACGAGGGAGAAAGAGAGAGGGACCTAACTCACGTATGTTTCGCTGGTTATCTGGTGTCTGTTAATTGTCCTGCTACATTTTAGGAACCTAGGATTATTCCTCGTGCTTTACAGAGTTAGTGGCTATCTAAATCTAATTATGCTGCCACTGGCTACCACATGCACGCGCCTTCGTTCTGTACAGAGACGGGCTAGTCCGGCCAGAATTGATTACACTTGCCAGGTTAACTAGTGAGTACTCCTAACTAGCTGCCCCTGCACACGGCTCTAATTTGTAGGCTGCTCTTTTGGTGGCATTGTGCGTGCATGTGTCACACACAGTGTCAGTACTCGGTCGACAGAGCTTTGCCGGAGAAAACCAAGAGCATCTCCAGCCCTTGGCCCCGTCAGGAGGCGCTAAAAATTGCCCCCGGGAGTGCACCGGCGCAAAACGCGCGCTGGGGCGTGATGCCACCTAGTCACGGCGTCCATGCAATTTTTTTGAACGGCGCAAACACGGCGAGTTCATGCATATTTCGGCGACTTCAAACCAAATTCGACCAAACACGGCACAAACACGCCCGCTCATATATATTTAAAATATTTTATAAAAAAAACGCACTGCTAGGCCCGTCCGCCGTCTCGCTCGCCTCGCCGCACCTCGCCAGCCGCCGCCCTTGCAGTTCTACATGCCGAGGAGGCTGTAGAACCGCGTGTAGTCGCTGTCGCTGTCGTCGTCGCTGCCGCCGCCGCCTCCATCGTGGCCGCCGTCCCTGCTGCAACCCTCCCACGATTGGCGCGGCGGGTTGGACGGTCTGGGCGTCCGGCGGCGTCCTCGTCGTCATTGCTGTCGAGGATCACGACGTCGTGCTCGTCCTCGCGCCCACGCTTCCGGGCGGCGATCTCCTCCAGGGCCCGGGTCTGCCGGGTCATCACCGTTTGGAGGTAGTCGTCGCGCGCCCACCGCAGGGCGTCCACGTCGGAGAATCCGCGCCGGGCTATCTCCTCGTACTCCGGGGGGAGACTGGGCTCCGGCTTGGGCGCGACGAGGACGAGGCGCCCGGAAGCGGGGGTGGAGTCGGCGATGCGGATACTGGAGCTGCGGGTGCGCCGGCTGACAGGCGTGTCCTGGGGCTCCGGCTTGACGGGGCGGAGGCTGGGAGAGCCGGTCGACCGACCGGACGAGGAGGAGGACGCCCCGGGGTCCATGCGCCTCGGCGTCCACGAGCTCCCACGGCGGCGAGAGAAGGACGGCGGGGAGGGGTACTCCGGCCTCAGCGTGTTGCCGCCCTCGATGTACTCGAGGACGGCCTCCAGCGTGCGGCCGGGCACGCCCCACCATCGGCGCCGCCCTTCAGAGTTGAGCCTGCCGGAGGGCACGACGCCGTTGGTGGCCTCGAGCTTCTCGGCGTGACGGCGGCGGAAGTAGGGCTCCCAGAGAGAGCTGTCGGGGACGCACCGTGGCCCCTCCTTCGCCGCCCGTGGCAGAGAGGCACGAATACGCGCGATCGCCGCACGACGCGCCGCCCCGGTGGGCGGTGGTGGCACCGGAACCCCGCCGGGGCTGATTCTCCACGCCTCGGGCACCCGCATGTCCGGCGGGACCGGGTACTCGGCCTCGTAGAGGAGCCGAGCTTCGTTTTCGTGAAGGTGGCGGCGGCCGAAGCCGTTCGCCGCCGCGCCGTTGCCAGGGAATCGTTCGGCCATTTCTACGAACTGGGACAGCGAGGGAAGAGGGAGGAAGGGGAGACAGGGCGCGTCGGCGGTCGAGACTCTGTGCGTGCCACCGACGCGCTGGGGGTCGGCTTATATAGGCGGAGGCGGCGCGAGCACGCGTGGCATGCGCGGGAACGCGCGTCGTCACGCCTTCACTGCGCCGCCCGTGAGGCATCAATGGCGGAGGTTGACCGGCGCGGCAGCGCGCGACAGCTTTGGCATTGATTCACCGCGGGAAACGATGCGATGAGGAAGACGAAGCGGCGAGAAGCGAGACGAGTCGCTGGCAAGGAGGGTCCGTGGCTCTTTCGCGCCAAAAACGGTTCACCCGGCGCCCCCAAGCGCCCCCAACGCGTCAGGTTCGGGTTGGGTCTGCCGGCGCCAATTTCGGGTCAGCCCGGCGAAAATTAGGCCCTTGGGGACGTGACTGGGCCGATTTTTTACGCCGGCGGCCGAAAAGTCGCCTTGTAGGCTTTGTTGGGGCGCGGCTGGAGATGCTCTAAGCTCCACCCCACCTTCAACAATTCCAAGAGTGCAACAACTTGGTGAGATGATCTAGCACAGCAAAACTCGCTGCATGTGAATACACGCTTTCATGGTGATCTACTACAAATCTAAGCACGTACTACGCCGCATGCATGCACGTACGTACCTTCAAAACGTTCACGCGCAAGAAGAGGGCTGAGTTGCCGACGCGTGTTAACTGGATCTGCGTGCAAGCCCGTGTCAGTGCACCGTGTGCGGTGAGACCGTGAGGCGACATAATCTGCATGTCGCGCTTCATTTCGTGCGTTATATCCTTGCTTAGACGACAGGACCACAGACACGAGCGGAGCAACGGCGTAACTCCCCGTCGCACGGTGCAGGCCGGCGGGCCCCGTCACGGGCAGCTCGCATAACTGCGTAGCAGCACCTCGACAATGCGCGAATCAACCTGTGGTTGAGTTGATTAGGTGGATAGTGATATCCTCAACCCACCAGGGTTCAAATCCTGGTGCTCGCATTATTCCTGAATTTATTTTAGGATTTTGGGCGATGCGCTTTCAGTGGGAGGAGACGTTCCCATCGACGACGAGGCGCCTATGGTGGCTTCGTAAATCTCAAGATGATATGCCGGCTCAGTCTCTCGGAGGTGCTCATAGAGGTAGGGTGTGCGTGTGTGCGTTCATAGGGATGAATGTATGTGCGTGTATATGAGCGCTTGTGTCTGTACTGATGCTCAAAAAAAAGCACCTCAACAATGCATGGAGAGTACGGAATATGAGTAACGTAGCAGTGGTAGCTGACATCGATCTCCTAGTGGCTATAGTCCCTCCCTACAAGATCCACGGGACAATCTTAATGGAGGCCTTCAAGGAAGGAAGGAATAGTGCAAGATCCAGAGATCCATCACCCGCATGGCCACGTACAGATACGCAGTACTCATACGGCTACTGCATGCATGCATGTATACATGTGTATATATGGGCATGCATGTGCGTGTGCAGTGC